GAAAGGGAACTGAGAGTAAGTGAGACGACAGCCCCGGGTTGGCGGTTTCCCCTGCGGAACGCGAAGGACCCGGACGTGGGTCGGAATTCCCTGCAGAGCTACGAGCTGAGCGGCGACGAGCACTTCTCGCTGGCCGTGCAGGCGGGCCCCGGCGGGGAGCAGCGTCCCGAGCTGGTGCTGGCGAAGGCGCTGGACCGGGAGGAGGCGGCGTTTCACGAGCTGGTGCTGAGGGCGAGCGACGGCGGAGAGCCGCGGCGGACGGGCACGGCGCGCATCCGCGTGTCGGTGCTGGACGCCAACGACAACGCGCCCGCGTTCAGCCAGGCAGAGTACACGGTGCGTGTGGCGGAGGACGTGCCCGTGGGCTCCGTCCTCGTCACTGTGACGGCCACCGACGCCGACGAGGGGATCAACGGGGACGTCAAGTATTCGCTGAAGAAAATCTCAGAGAAAGCCTCGAACATTTTCCAGTTGGCCACAGAGACGGGAGCGATCACCTTAGTGAGAAGCCTGGACTTCGAGCGTGGCGACTCCTACGAACTGGAGGTGCAGGCACGGGATGGCGGCGGACTTTCCGACACGGCGAAAGTGGAGATCACTGTGACAGACGTCAACGACAACATGCCTCTGATTTCGGTTCGTTCGGCGCTTGGCGAAATCTCTGAGGACGCTCCACCGGGGACGGTGGTGGCCCTGCTGCACGTCCAGGACCCGGACTCCGGACTCAACGGGCAGGTGCGTTGCAGCGTCGCCGAGAGCCTCCCGTTCCGTCTGGAGAAGAGCTTTGAGGACTACTACCGCGTGGTGACGGCGCGGGAGCTGGACCGCGAGGAGGTGTCGGAGTACAACGTGACGGTGCGGGCGTCGGACGGCGGGTCGCCGCCGCTGCGGAGCAGCGCGGTGCTGGCGCTGCGGGTGCTGGACGTGAACGACAACGCGCCGGTGTTCGCGGAGGCGCGGTACAGCGCGCGGGTGCCCGAGAACAACGCGGCGGGCGCGCTGCTGCTGAGGGTGCGGGCGCGGGACGCGGACTGGGGCGCGAACGCGCGCGTGCGGTACCGGCTGTGGGAGGGGCGGGTGCGGGGCGCGCCGCTGTCGTCGTACGTGTCGGTGCAGGCGGAGACGGGCGCGCTGTACGCGCTGCGCTCCTTCGACTACGAGGAGGTGCGCGAGGTGGGGCTGTGGGTGGGGGCGGAGGACGGCGGCGCGCCGGCGCTGAGCAGCAACGTGTCGGTGCGGCTGGAGATCGTGGACGAGAACGACAACGCGCCGCAGGTGCTGTACCCGCCGCCGGCGCCAGCGGGCTCGGGCTCGGGCTCGGGCTGGGGCTCGGTGTCGGGGTGGTGGTCGGGCGTGGAGCTGTGGCCGCGGTCGGCGGAGCCCGGGTCGCTGGTGGCCAAGGTGGTGGCGGTGGACGCGGACGCGGGTCAGAACGCGTGGCTGTCGTACGAGCTGGCCAAGGCGACGGAGCCGGGTCTGTTCCGCGTGGGGCTGCACGGCGGCGAGGTGCGGACGGCGCGGTTGCCGCTGGCCCGCGACGCGGCGCGGCAGAGCCTGGTGGTGGTGGTGAAGGACCACGGGCGGCCGGCGCTGTCGGCCACGGCCACGCTGAGGGTGGTGCTGGGCGAGAGCGTGGCCGAGCTGCTGTCGGAGCTGGGCAGCGCGGCGGCGGCGGCGCCGGGCGAGCCGGGCGGCAGCCTGACGCGCTGGCTGGTGCTGGCCGTGGCGGCCGTCTCCTGCCTCTTCCTCGCCTTCCTGCTGCTGCTGCTGGCGCTGCGCCTGCGCCGCTGGCGCCGCTCGCAGCTGCCGGCGGCGGGCAGCGGCGCCTTGCGCGGCGTCCCGGCCTCGCACTTCGTGGGCATCGACGGCGTCCGCGCCTTCCTGCGCTCCTACTCGCACGAGGTCTCGCTCACCGCCGACTCGCGCAAGAGCCAGCTGCGCTTCTCGGGCGGCAGCTGCTGCGACACCCTGCCGGCCCGCCCGCCGCCCGACGAGCCCGCGCCGCCGCTGCTCCCCGAGGACGCTGACGGCGCCCGCCGCGACGACCCCGCCGCTCCCCCGGTGAGTTGTCTGCAAGTGCCTATTGATCCGCGGAGGTGAACGTGAGATCGTTGTTCAGCGTTGAAGTTATTGTGGGAGTCAAGAGAAACGGGGCTGCTATTGTCTTCAGTTTCAGTAGAATGCGGCATTGTGGTCTTGTGACACACCATGTTGTTTCTCATTTTGTCCCCTGACATTTGTAACACCAGTTTTTCTCTGAGTACTACCTTTCTGAATGAATGTATTGCGTTATGAGCAAATGGAATTTTTCCTTATTGGCAGGGTTAGAGATGTTCCTGACATCACCTGTGCTTGAGTACGATGAGATTGTCTTGAAACACACTGTAAATGGTCCCATCTATAACTCAGCTGTTCACGGTTTCTACTCTTCTCTGCTTTTCTGTTTCTTCGTGAGAATGTGGTGAGCAATGAAAGGTCATTGTATTCGTGCATGCTTTTATCTTTGTGCTCACGCAGAGGAATGGGAAGAGTCATATGAGGGTGGGAGGTGCTGGAATTAGTGTAAGGAGAGGGATTTTGGCCCAGTACCAATGGTTCCTGATCCAGCTTCTCCTGGAGGACCTCTTTCCTTTTACTCTTAGACTCTTGATGTTTCTTCCATGAGGTAGTGATTGCATGATTGTATCTTCTCAGTAGAGAGATGTGAAGATATACATTTGGGAAGTTTGTGGTGTGATAGTGTTGCAGGGTTCATGAGCGTGCTGTGTCTTTTGCTCCAGGGAGGTGATTGTGGCCTCGTTGCTCAGCGTTGGAGTTGTTGTGGGAGTCAGGAGAAGTAGGGCTGCTGTTGTATTGGGTTTCATTAGAGTGGGGCTTTGTGTTTTTATCACGTGCCAGGTTGTTTCTCATTTTGTCTCCTGATGTGTAATACCGATTTTCCTGTCAGTATTAGATCTTCTAAATGGATGTATTGCATTATCAGCAAATGGAAATCTTCCCCTTTTGGCAGTGTCAGACTCTTCATATTTCTTCTCTGAAGTGCACTGAACTGAGAAATGTATCATCCTTCTCAGTATGGAGCTGTGAATATACGTGTCTGTCGTTGAAGTGAAATGGTCTGGGCTTCTGGCCTTTTCGTGTCATGTGATTGCAAATTATAAGGCTCAAGGAACACTATGCAAGTTGTGAAGGATTGGAGATCAGAGTCCTGGGAGATGTGCATGAGGGGCTCAAGAGATCTGTTTGATCCTTTTTTGTTCAGTGTCCAGCTGTAGTATCATGGAATATGAGTTCCGTCTTCCAGGAGAAATGTGGCTAGAAGACATGTGATTTCAGCTGTATTGGGAGTCCTGATGGGTTCTTTCTCTGTATTTGCAAGTTGTCTTTCTGTCTTTTGCAGTTCTTAACTAGCAGTGAAATATGTACTTAAGATAAGTGCCATAATGGGAACCTTGAGAAGTGCAAACCGTGCATGTACTACTTTCTGAATATGTGAATTAGGTACGTACTCGAAGTGCCACAATCTGGAAGAGTGTGTTGTGATCCCTTCCTTTCTGCAGATGTTCACTTTTTGCCATGCTCGTTGTAATGATCTGGAGCTGGGCCTTTGTATCTGATAATGTGTGTAAGGTCACATTTGTTACCTTTGTATGACTGTCCAATAAATACCTTTCCTGTTATTCAAGGGAGAGACTTTCACAGACATGTTTCCTTAAAATGTTAAGTGGACAGATACTCCTACTTGTGACATACACATGCTGAGGAGTCATGTGTTATCCTTTTCTTTCAATGGACTCCATCTGCAAATTTGGAAGACCAATTGCAATGATGTGAGCTGTAAAGGGTTTGAGGAACGCCTTGGGGATGTTGTGTGTGAGGAGGTAGTGGTGGAGACAAGGCATGTGTTTAATTAATTCCCACGGTTCATTGCTGAACTACATAAAATGGGACTAAAGGTGTCTCATTTGTGGATATCACACTGCGCAGCTTCTAGCTGGCCAGGCTTTGAGCTCATCAGTTTGCTTTCCTGTTGCATGACATTTAGTGTGAATGGCAGTTATTGAGCACAGTTGTAGAATTTAGGTTAAGGTTTGAGCATCATGTACCTTCCAAGTTGTTGATGTGTTGGAGGAGAATGATGGTGTCTTTGAGGTGATAATTTGATAACTGAGTCTCAGCATTACAGTTGGTGTGGGAGGCAGGAGAATTGGGGCTGCTGTTGCTTTGAGTTTCATTAAAGAGGAGCCTTGTGTTCTTATCACATTCTAGGTCATTTCTCAGTTTTTTCCTCTGACATATTTAATACTAATTTTCCCATCAATATTAGCTTTTTTGAACGGATGTATTGCATTTTCAGGCAATTGAAGTTGTCATTGTCTTGTGCTTGAGTAGGATAAGCGTGCCTTGAAACCAACTGCTGCTGGTGCCATGTAGAACTCAGCTGCTCAGTGTTTCTGCTCTCCTCAGCCTTTCTGTTTCTCCATGATAACGGGGTGAGAAATGAAATGTTTGTATTTTTGTGCGTGTTTTGATCTTTGTACACCAGGTGGAGGAATGGACTAGGCAACAACAAATCCCTTGTCGATGTCTGTCTGCCTGTGGTGAAGATGAAAGAAAATCCTCAAAGTTGTGACCATTTGCAAAAGTCTCCATGTGGCTGTATGTGAAGGTCTATTAGAAGAAATGGTAGATGTGTTTTGTTGATTCCCTGGTTTTTAAGGTTGACATTAAAATGGAGCTGGATGTGTCTTGGGTTGGCAATATGGCAAGAACTTTATAAGGGTGATAGAGGAGAGATAGAAAGTCTTGGGAGAAATGTCAGCAGAGGAGTTTGCTGACCCAGCCTCTCCTGGATGACTGATTCTCTTTTCTCTTAGAGTCTTAATGTTTCTTCTCTGACATGCAGTGAGCAGATGATTGTTCTTCCTTCTCAGTATGGAGATGTGAAGATATCTGTGTGAAGTGCATGGAATGCTCCTGGTAAACGTTGAAGAGAAGTGTTTGGGGCAACTGAACCTTTCATGTCATGTACTTGCTCAAAGAACACCTTGCAAGTTGTGAAGGGTTGGAGAGTAGAATCGTGGGAGCTGTGTATGAGAGGATAGACAGATATGTGTGCTCCTTTCCCTGTTCAGTGCCCAGCTGTAGTATCATGCAGTGTGAGATTCCTCTTCCCAAAGAAATGTGGCTGGAAGACATGTATTTCCAGCTGTATTGGAATCCCTGGGAGGTTCTTCCCCTGGTTTTGCAGGTTGTCGTCAACTCTTAACTAACACTGAATTTTGTACTTATGAGAAACTGCATAATGGGAGCTTTCAGAAGAGCAAACTGTGTAATTTCTACCTACTAAATACCTGAATTATGTATGTAGTGTTTGTAAGTTCCACAGGTGGTCAGCTTTTTATCCGATAATGCATGGAAGATCTCATCTGTTACCTTTGTCTGACTGTCCCATACATACCTTTTACGTTTACGGCTGTCAAGAGACAGACTTCCATAGACTTGTTTCCTATAAATGTTAACTGGACAAATGCTCTTGCTTGTCATACACATGGTGAGAAGTCAAGCATTATCCATGAGAAGGGGAAGTTGGATACCCTTCGTGTTTCTGCTGGTGCTGACGTGAGCTGAAATGTCAAGCTAGCATTCCATCATTTCTCCAGGTTTCTCATTCTTGCCTTGGTTGTTGGGGGACTTTTTTTTAATTTTTTTTTTTTTTTTTTGTATGTCTGTATGTAAACCTGGGCCTTATTTTTGCTGGAAATCCTTAAAACATTAAAAGATCTCTTGCAATTGTTGTGCTAGGGGAGCAGTTTCGATCCATACCTTGTAGGTGTTCAACTGCCAAGAGAATGACTGTGAGGGAATTTTGCTCCCCTATGATGTCACTGAATGGAACGCTCTTTGGACTGTGGTTGACGTATAGCCAAAATATATTATCTTTAGTGCAACTAAAGGCTGTGAATGCAAGGAGGGTGAGAGGCTGGCTCTGAACCATGAAAACAGGTGGGTCACTGTAGCTTTAGCTGGGCAATGGTTTGATTCCAGGCCTACTGCCAAGCCCTGTGCCACTCATGCTGTGAGCCTAGTTTCTCCATCTCGAAAGATTATTGTCCTCCAATCTTATAGTGTTTGCACAGTAAATGTGCATGTAGATTCAGGATGCACGGGTGGAAGGCTCATAATTCCTGTGTGAAACCTCCTTTATCTATCTGTAATTCATTGGAATCTTATGATGTGGAGTTTCTTCAGAGATGGAGTTACACTTTCTTTCAGGCCTTTTTCCTGCTAGGTCATGGTTATCCCCATCTCTGCATAATTCTTTTGTGTTGAAAACTGTGAGTGTTGTTTTGCAGCAAATAGTTAGTTTCCTTGGCAATCATTTAGCCACCTGAAGAAGCCCAGGATGACTTAACTTGAGAAAGAGACCTATGATAAATGTTTATACTTACGGCTTCATATTCTTATGCAGATGAGAAGACCACAAAGTAAAAAAAAAAAAAATGTTGAGAGCTGATGACTATTTCTTAAAATGACCCACCCTAAAATGTAGTCCAGAGGAAGAGTTTAGGGTTGCACTTGTACTTGAAACATCAGTGGTTTGCAGGTGCTCACGGGGATGAATTTCAATGCCAGCAATAAAGACTTCCTGGCGAGTTAGTCTGACAAGATTTTTTCTTTAATTGTTCCTTGCCTTAATGGTCTGAGTTTTTTCTCTTCCTGGTTTCCTTTGGCTTACTTTGAAGTAGTGGCATATCTTTGTTTAGCCACATGTTGTGCATTAGTGCCTCTTCCTCATCCTCCCATGCTTGTGCAAGGCAGGAGATGTGAGGTTGTACTTGTGTTCTGGTTGTTGTAGGAAGATGACGGTAAGGAATGAAGCCAGTAGAAGTCACATCTCTGTGGAACAGTGTTTGTGATCAAAGAGGGGAGGAGATTCCCCAGAAGTTGGTCTTACCTATTGTCTGTTGGATGACTACTCTGCTTTTGGTTCAGACGTTTAACATTCCTGTGCCTTACAATCCTTCTATTTGCAGGATGTTGGTGAGCAAACAAACATACCTCCATTTTGGGAGTGATCATGCTGTGTTATAATCTCA